ACCCCCCAACTCTGCCGGTGCCCCTCACTCCCGACCTGCAGCCCCCGCCAGCCCAGCCCTGACCCCCCAACTCTGCCGGTGCCCCTCACTCCCGACCTGCAGCCCCCGCCAGCCCAGCCCTGCCCCCCCAGCTCTGCCGGTGCCCCTGACCCGCAGCCCCCAGCTCCTGGCTCTGTCTCCCCCATCACAGGGCGGCCGGGGATGAGGACCGAGCTGTTCTCCAGCAAGTGTCCAGACACCATCATTGTCCAGGAAACCGACCAAGACTATCAAAGGATCCTGCTGTACTGTGAGTGGGGGCCCGGACGCCTGGGTTCTCTCCCTGGCTCCGGGAGGGGAGTGGGGGTGGTGGTGAGAGCAGGGGGACTGGGAGCCCGGACGCCTGGGATCTATCGTTGTTCTGGGAGGGGAGTGGGGGGGGCTTGTTGCCAGGTTCTCTGAGGTGTCTCTCCCTATCCTCCTTCCCCCCCAGCCCGCACCCCCGACCTGGCTGACGAGTGCATTGAGGATTTCCGGAGCCAAGCCTACTGCCTGGACATGGAAGAATTCCTGCTTATCCCCCGCAGCCAAGGTACCACCCGGATGAGGAGGCCTTTAGGGGGGTCCCCCCACCCCATCGGCCAGTGGGATTAGCTTGGCGGGAAGGCGGTGGGTTGGGAGAGGGAGGAGATTGGGGGGAGGCGGTTGTGAGGTGCTGGGAAGAAAGGAGGTTGTGGGGGTAAGGGAGGTTTGGGGGGGTCAGGAGGGGGTTGGGCAGGTGTTGGGGGGATGGGTAGATTTGGGGGGTGTGGAAGAGGATTGGGGGTAGGTTATTGGAGTCACCAAAATGGTCACTGATGCACAACCCCACCCTTAAATCCCCCCCCACACGCACCCCCTAACCCTCTCCCTCTTCTGCCGCCCCCCAGACACCTGCCAGCTTCGGGATTCCTGATTGACCCAGTGCCAGGTGAGCTGAGCCTCAGGGCCCCCCCATTCCCCAGGGGCTCCCCCATTCCCCGACTATCCCAGGGGCCCCGCACCCCCTGACCTGGCTGGAGAGTGCCAGGCCTCAGCCGGGTTTTCCGGGCCCCCTCCCCCGGCCCGGCCTCCAGAGACCAAGCTCCCCATTCTGGGGGGCGGGGGGTGGCTGGGATTGAAGTTTGGGGGGGTAGATCTCCTGGGTCCCCCCCCCCCCGCCAACTCTGCAGGGCCCGGTTTTCCCATCGGACGCTGAAATTGACGATTAAAGGCGCAGCCGTGTTTCCATCTCAGGCCTTTCTCCGTTTCTCTCTGCCAGCCCCCCCAGCTGCTGCGACTGGCCCGCCCCGAGGAAACAGCCCCCCCAAAGACTGACCCCCTCGTTCGCCTGGAGGAAGAAACCCCATTTCTGCAGAGCCTGTCAAATAAATCCCAATCCTGCCGCATCTGTGACAATGTGTCCCTAAGCGCTGGTTTCAACTCTCAGACACATGGGGCATGCCCGGTGGTGGGGGGGCAGGGCTGGGCTGGGGGGGGCTGCGGGTCAGGAGTGAGGGGCACCGGCAGAGCTGGGCTAGCAGGGGCCTGGTGC